CTGTGAAACTGTCGCCGCTTTCGAGGCCTGCTGGGGGGCCCAGCATAGTGGGATCTGTGAAACTGTCGCCACTTTCGAGGGCTGCTGAGGGGCCCCGCACAGTGGGTCCTCACCGCGGATTCACATTAGACCTCGCCATCCCTGGGGGGCTGCGATCTGTGAAACTGTCGCCACTTTCGAGGCCTGCTGGGGGGCCCACCGCAGTGGGAAGTCACCGCAGATTCAAATTAGACGTCGCCATCCTTGGGGGGCTGCGATCTGTGAGACTGTCGCCACTTTCGAGGCCTGCTGGGGGGCCCAGCACAGTGGGTCCTCACCGCAGATTCAAATTAGACCTCGCCATCCCTGGGGGGCTGCGATCTGTGAAACTGTCGCCACTTTCGAGGGCTGCTGGGGGGCCCAGCACAGTGGGTACAAACCGCAGACTCAGATTAGACGTCGCCATCCCTGGGGGGCTGCGATCTGTGAAACTGTCGCCACTTTCGAGGCCTGCTGGGGGGCCCGGCACAGTGGGTACCCACCGCGGAATCAAATAGACCTCGCCATCCCTGGGGGGCTGCGATCTGTGAAACTGTCGCCACTTTCGAGGCCTGCTGGGGGGCCCAGCTCAGTGGGTACTCACCGCGGATTCAAATTAGACCTCGCCATCCCTGGGGGGCTGCGATCTGTGAAACTGTCGCACTTTCGAGGCCTGCTGGGGGGCCCAGCACAGTGGGTAGTCATCGCGGATTTAAATTAGACCTCGCCATCCCTGGGGGGCTGCGATCTGTGAGACGGTCGCCACTTTCGAGGCCTGCTGGGGGGCCCAGCGCAGTGGGTAGTCACCGCAGATTCAAATTAGACGTCGCCATCCCAGGGGGGCTGAGATCTGTGAAACTCTCGCCACTTTCGAGGCTTGCTGGGGGGCCCAGCGCAGTGGGTAGCCACCGCGGATTCAAATTAGACCTCGCCATCCCTGGGGGGCTGCGATCTGTGAAACTGTCGCCACTTTCGAGGGCTGCTGAGGGGCACAGCACAGTGGGTCCTCACCGCAGATTCAAATTAGACGTCGCCATCCGTGGGGGGCTGCGATCTATGAAACTGTCGCCACTTTCGAGGGCTCCTGAGGGGCCCAGCACAGTGGGAAGTCACCGCGGATTCAAATTAGACCTCGCCATCCCTGGGGGGCTGCGATCTGTGAGACTGTCGCCACTTTCGAGGCCTGCTGGGGGGCCCAGCACAGAGGGTCCTCACCGCAGACTCAGATTAGACGTCGCCATCCCTGGGGGGCTGCGATCTGTGAAACTGTCGCCACTTTCGAGGCCTGCTGGGGGGCCCAGCGCAGTGGGTAGTCACCGCAGATTCAAATTGTTGTCGCTTCGCGAATCCCCACCAGCCCATCCAGAAACGATGGCCAGAGGAATTGCCTCGATCAGAGAAGTGGGCAGCACACAGAGGAAGCCATTATGAGACATCTTGGGATATCTTGAGCCATCTTGGAGGTCATTTTGGGCTCTCCCAGACGCTCTTGGAGTCATCTTAATCCGTGCCCCCCCCCAAGAGGCCTCCATGTGGCTAAAACCTGTGTAGAATCAATGATTAGGCATTCTCGCCGAGGCCTCTTGGAGCATCTTGGGTGCATCTGGGGGGGCTCTTGGGGCCTCTTGGGGGTCTCTTGGGGGCCTCCGGGGGGCCTCTTGGGGGCCTCTTGGGGCCATTTTGGGGCCATCTTGGGACCTCTTGGGGCTTCCTGGGCGCTTCTTGGGGCCATCTTGGAGGAGATCGATCAAACAAGAGGGGGGCTTTAATTAGCGCCCCCCCTCGGAAGCCCCTAAAATCGCCTCTTGGACCCCTCTTGGAACGCTCTTGGAGTGCTCTTGGGCGCTCTTGGGGCCGTCTTGGGGCTCTTTTGGGGCTCTCTTGGGGCCCTCTTGGGCCATCTTGGAACCATCTCCAGGCCTCGGATGGCCATCGGAAGCGAAAAGGCGAGAAAGCAAAAATCATTGATTTTCCTTAGGTTTTGGGACGATTTTGGCCTCTTCGGGGCCTCCTTGGGGAGCTGTTTGGCCACTTGGAGTTATCTTGGGGCCGTCTTTGGGCTTCTTGGAACCATCTTAGGAGCCATCTCGAGCGATCTTGCGCTATCTTGAGCCATCTTGGAGCTCATCTTGGGTTCTCTGAGGCGCTCTTGGAGCCGTCTTGGGCCATCTGGGACGCTCTAACTACCAGCGGCCCCCCCCGTCCAGGTCCAGGGGAGGGGGTAGGGGGAGGGGTAAACCCCTCCCCAAGGGGGAAGAGGGAGGGGTGGAAGAGGATCTGCTCTAGACCACCTACGCCCAGAGGGCTGGTGGGATTAGACCTCGCCATCCTTGGGGGGCTGCGATTGGTGAAACTGTCGCCACTTTCGAGGCTTGCTGGGGGGCCCAGCGCAGTGGGTACTTACCGCAGACTCAGATTAGACCTCGCAATCCCTGGGGGGCTGCGATCTGTGAGCCTGTCGCCACTTTCGAGGCCTTCTGGGGGGCCCAGCACAGTGGGTCCTCACCGCAGACTCAGATTAGACCTCGCAACCCCTGGGGGGCTACGATCTGTGAAACTGTCGCCACTTTCGAGGGCTGCTGATGGGGCCCAGCACAGTGGGCTTCCCGCACGTCTTTCGCCTGCTCTTCGTTCCCGACTCCCCATGTCCTCTTCGAGCCTGTAGCTGTCGCCCCTCTTTCTTGTATGGTTCTCCTGCGCATCGTGCCACAGGCGCGTGTCCCAAGTAGCTTACATATCAAACAACGGATCCTGCAATTTGATTGTCCAAGCAAGTTTTGGCCAACTCCTCGTTTCGCATGATACAAATAGGTTGGGTACGTCACAGGGTCAGTTTTTTTTCGTCCGAAGTTCGCCTGTAGGGGGACATGCCCGACCTAAGGCGAGGCCCGCTCTGTGCCGGGGACGACACTGGGGACGGGGGGGCCCGCCCTGCGCGTAGACGTGCTGGCAGGACGGGCGTGCGGGGGCAGAGTGTGCAGAGTGTGTCGAAAATCCCCCTGTAGGGGGACAGGCCCCAGAGATCTTCGGGGGCAGCGATGGGGAGGGTGGATAGGCTTAAGTCAGGCCTGTCCCCCTACAGGGGGATTTTCGACGAGAAATAAAACAAATACACCAGAAATGCCCCCAAATGGTCGAGAAATACTCCAAAAATAGTCCCCCGAAAATATTGGGATTTTTTTTTTTTTTTTTTTTTTTTTTTTTGGTATTTTTTATTTTTCGTCGAAAATCCCCCTGTTGGGGGACAGGCCCGACTTAAGGTTAGGCACGGGGAAGGATGCATCGACCCCCAATCGCCCAGTGGTCTTCGATGATTAGGGGCCCGATAGCCCCAAACCGCTCCAGAACGTGCGGACTCATTATCGCGGGGCTATCTCCGATCTATCGACGATGCATGGCAGGACCAGTGCATGATGGCACAGTGCACAAGGATCCTTCGCCAGGAGGGTCTCGAACAGTCTTGACGCCCACCAGCCCATCCAGAAGCAGATCGCCACGGTAGTTGCCTTGATCAGGGAGGTGTAGGAGAGTGCAGTGTAACAACCGCCTTGGAATCATTTTCTTGGAGGTCTACTGGAGCCGTCTGGGGGTTCTCATTGGGGTCCTGGCGGAGCCTCTTGGGGTACTCTTGAGGCCCTCTTGAGGCTCTCTGCTCAAACAATTGCGTCTTGAGGCCCTCTTGGGGCGCTCTTGGTGCGCTCTTGGGGCGCTCTTGGGCCCTCTTGGGACTGTCTTGGGGCTTTCCTGAGCCCTTCTTGGGGCTCTGTTGGATCGTTTTGGGGCGATCTTGAGGCCTCAAGAGCCCATCGGAAGCGAAAAGGCGAGAACGCAAGCAACATCGATGTTCCTTCGGTTTTGGAGCCATGTTGGCCTCTTGGGAAGGTCCTTGGAGGCCTCGAAGCGTATTTGAAACCGTCTTGAGGTCGTCTTGGGGCTTCTTCGATGTGTGTCGGAGGCTATCTTGACCATACTGAGCTATCTGGAGCAATCTTGGATGCCATCTTGCGCTCTCGTAGGCCCTCTTGAACGCTCTGACCTCTCGCGGGGCGCCCCTTCCAGGCCCAGGGGAGGGCGTAGGGGGAGGGGTAACCCCTTCCCCCGAGAAGGGGAAGGAGGGAGCTTTGGCAGAGAGAAGGCAAAATTTGTAAAACCACCTACGCCAAGAGGGCTGGTGGGATTTGCGCAATAGTTCGCGCAATCTTTCGTGCGGGATGCGCACCGTCGTTCAGTATCAGCACGCGGCTGCCGCGCGCCATGCGCCAGAGGATGAAGTATTGCATTCTGTTTTGGCGCACCCCGTGCGAAAGCCCCCCCCCCCTGGCCCGGAGACGGGGCTCCCAATAGGCAGGCCCCGGAGATCTGGGCCTGGCTCTTTTCCACACCGGGGGCCTTCGCCCAGGTTTGAGCCCGGGGAGCCTTCGTGTCTCGATGTCCTGTCGAGGAATGCCACTGGAGGTGGGGGTCTCGATGCCTCTGGCTCTGAGGATCAGCCTCGGCCACGGTCGTGCCGATGCCGGGTATCCCGGCTCCTGCGCTGCCGGCGTTGTGCCACGAGCGCAGCCTCGGACAGTGAGCGGAGCCCTTCCTGGGCTTCAGGTCTCGGGTGGCGCGCCTGGACGCCCGAGGACTGCCGCGGCAACCCCCACGGAAGGCCCCGGGGACCTGAGGACCACCTGGGCGCCCACGGCCGCGCTCCCGCGCTGCCGCAGCCCCCGCGACCGCACTCGAGCGAGCTTCTGTGGGCGCCGCCGCCGCCGCCGCCGGCGTCGGCGTCGTCGTCGTCGTCGTCGTCGTCGTCGTCGGCGTCGGCGTCGGCGTCGGCGTCGGCGTCGGCGTCGGCGTCGGCGTCGGCGTCGGCGTCGGCGCCGTCGCCAGTGCCAGCGCCATGATCATGGACAGAACCAGAGCGGATCTCCTCGCAGAGCTTTGGCTGCACGGCCCGGGGCCCTCCCACGAGGAGGCCGCGCCCCCGGCGGCGGCAGCGCCGCCGTCGCGCCCGGCGCCAGCCGCGCTGCCCGCAGCGGCAGCGTCGCCGTGGCGCCCAGCGCCGGCGCGGGCGCGGCGGGCCCGGCCTGCACCACAGCTCGGGCGTTGCCAGAGTGTGCCCCTGGCCCAAGGTTCGGCCGGATGGCGGGTTGCAAGTACAAGTTGTACCTTCTCCCCCCCGTTAACATCCTCGCACATGTCGCGGACGTTGCCAAAAGTACAAGTTGTACCTTGTCTGCGTGGCGTCGGTACAAATTGTACCTTCTCCGTGGGGCGTAGGTACAATTTGTACCTCGGCTGCGCCTCTCTCCCCCCCTGGAGTTATCCCCCCATTTGCATCCCGCCAAAAGGTGCCCCCAGGATTTCCAAGGAGGCCCCACGGCCTCCAGAGCACCCCTCACGAGGCCCAGGGGGTCCAGGGGGTTCCAAAGTGGAGCGAGAAGCTGGGGGCACCCTGGGCCAGGGGTGCCTGTAACAACCCCCGAACAGCGGGGCTGCCGACGCCAGACGCGATCAGCAAAGAGAAGGATCCAAGACGGGCATGGGGGGGTACGGTTCCCATCGAAGAAGAGCAAAGGACATAAGTAACCGCATGCCGATAATAATAAAGGGACCCTCCCCCTTCAGTGTTTAGAGTTGATTATCGTCGCCCTGTACAAAATTCAAATTGGGCGGCGAGCGCTGAGGCCGAACTTCATTATCACCTCGAAACGCTATGTTGAGATAGCAACATCAAGCGATGTTGATATAGCAACATCAAGCGAAGCGATCACACTTTTTCAGGATGTGTCAAGCGAAACCAATAATTTTGGGAGGCAGACTCAAACGAAACGAGCAATGTTCTTATTATTCTTCTACTTTCCTCTTCTTCTTTTATATTTCTATCTGTCCTCACGCTCGCCTGAACTTTTTTACCCCTGGGGTTGATTATCCATGGAAAATGAAGCACATGAGCTACCCTACACGAGCACTAAAAAAACAATTTTCATAAAGCGTTTGTAATTTTAAATTGATAGATTTGGAACTTTGGGATTTTTCCTTTCTTCGTCCTCTTCTTATTCTCCTATTCTTCTTCTTTCTTATTATTCTTCCACTGTATTCTTCTTCTTTTATATTTTTCTCTGTCCCCACGCTCGCCTGAACTTTTTTATCTCTGGGGTTGATTATCCATGGAAATTGAGGCACATGAGCTACCCTACACGAGCACTTACAAAAAACAATTTACATGAGAGATAAGCCATTGTTGAGGATATTTCTATGAAAACTAAACGCCAAGGATGTCTCAAAACGTGCTCGGCTTGGTCTCCTCTTGATCATCTCTTACTTCAAGATTATGCTGAGGTCTGCTGGGCTACTTTTATTATCTCTCCCTGAACCCCGAACTTTATTATCCCCTAGTGTTTATTCTCACGGGCATGAGGTTATAAGCTTGTGGCGCTCCGCGCGGACTTCTCGGATCCGCGCCAGGCCCCCCTGCCTGGTGGCGTCTCTGGCGCCGCCCTTGGCGCGCTCCGCGCGCCAGGGAGGGGAGCCCAGCGCGGATCCGAGAAGTCCGCGCGGACCTCCAAAAGTTTATGTTTATGCAGTTTTCCGTCCTTGCATCTCAGGAGCAGCGATAGGGGGGGATAGGCGCATGGCGGGGGATGCATCGACCCCCCCATCGCCCATAGATCGCCGATGGGTGCCCGACAGCCCCAACCCGCCCGGGAGCGCGCAGATTCATCATCGGGGGCCTACGGCCGATCCATCGGCGATGTATCGCCGGTTCCAGGTCGAGGCGTCCCCCCCCGTGCCAGTCCCCCCCTGTCGTTGCCCCGCAGGGTCCGGCCGCGCGGCGAGGGCGACCCTTCGCCGGAGTGGCCTCCTGGCGCGCGGCCCTCGAGGGGCGCGGGGTGGACGTGTACAGATAGGTGTATACCAGAAGGGGTAGAGAGAGACAGAGGGGGAAAGAGAGGGAGAGACAGAGATGCAGAGAAAACAGATCCGCCGATCCGGCGTGTGAGTTTAAGGGGGAGGGGGTGACCGGGGCGGCTCTGCTGGGGTAGGGGGAGGGGGGGGGGGATGGGGGGGGGGGTCCAGTGGCGTTTGTTTTGGTGGCGTGAGGGGGTGAGGGGCCCGGTCCCCCGTCCCGTCTGTGGACGGGGGGCATTGGGGGAAGCGGAGGGGGCAGGGGGGTTCCGGTGGCTGGGGTGGCTCTGCCGGGGTAGGGGGAGGGGGGGCGGAGGGTTCCGGTGGCGTGGGTTCTGGTGGCGTGGGGGGGGGAGGGGTCCGGTCCCCCTGTCTCGCCTGTGGACAGGGGGAGTTGGGGGAAGAGGGCGGGGGGTCTGGTGGCCAGGGTGGGTGACTCTGCCAGGGTAGGGGGGGGTCCCGTGGCGTGGGTTCCGGTGGCTTGGGGGGGGGGGTCCGGTCCCCCGTCCCGCCTGTGTAGGGGGAGTTGGGGGAAGAGGAAGGGGTCCGGTGGCCTGGGTTCCCGTCGCGTGGGGGAGGGGAAGGGAGGTTCTGTGGCGTGTGAGTTTGAAGGAACCTCAGCTACAGTCTCGAGGCTGAGCTTTAGCCTCTGGAGGGGTTGCCGGGGTGGCTCTGCCGGGGAAGGAGGGGAGGAGGGGGTGTGCGCGTGTGCGCGGGGTAATGTTGGTCCGCGTACGCGAGAAGGGAATCGGGGAAAGAGGGAGAGAGAAGTGGAACGGGACAAGAGTGGAAAACGGAGAACAAATGGGGGGGGGAAGACGAATGTGGCGGTGAAATGCGTGTCTGTTGTGTGTGGTGTGTGTGTGTGTGAGAGAGTGAGTGAGTGTGTGTGTGTATGTGTTTGTGCGGTGTGCGTGGTGTGTGTACGTATGTGTGTGTGTGTGTTGCCGGCGCGTGCGTGTGCATTTGCCTGCGAAGGTGGCGCGCGTGTGCGAGTGTGGTGTGTGTGTGGGTGTGTGTAGTGTGTATGTGTGTGTGTGTGTGTGCGTGTGTGTGTGCGTGTGTGCGCGTAATGTCTGCGAGTGTGTGCCTGCATGTCTGTCTGCGAAGTGTCGCCGCCCAGTCTGGGGGGCACCCCAAGCGACCCGGATCGGCGGCACTGGCCGAAGGCCACTACAATACACACATATATATACATATGTAGAAAAGAGAGAGAGGGAGAGAGAGAGAGAGATAGTGAGAGGGAGGTAGAGGGACAGATAGTGGCAGAGAGGGAGAGACAGACACGTACACCTTCGGCGGTACGCTCGAATTCCTCAGGTCGGCGATGGACCCCATGGACCGTGGCGGATCCAAGGAGAACCCAAGACAGGGGCACGCTGTGCAAGGCAGCGTTGGCAGCTGCGGGCGTTGGGAATCACTCTGGTAGAGGGAAACAATCAGTACCCCCCCGCCCTGCCCCCCAAACTCAAAGTTGGCACGCGCGGGGGAGACTGCGGTCGAGGTGCAACTCATCAGACCCACCGCCAACTTTGAACATTGGGGGGAGGGGGAGGCGTTGACACATGAATGTGGCATGAGTGTTCGCTATTTTTTCCGAGGCCTGTCGGGAGGGGTTCTTTGCCCCCGTTTCTCCAGCTTTCCAGGGTGAACAACTCTCCAGAGAGGTTCTGTGAGATCCGACGTCGCGAGCAATGGTATAATGGAACATATCTCGACCATAACCCTGCCTGTCTGCAGCATCTCTCGAGCCATATCGATCTTTGATCGCCCCAGGGTTGGAAATCGGGTACAAGCGTTACGTCGGACATGTCCCTCTATAGGAGGAATATCCAAACATAGTCCAATACTGTCTGGTGACGATTTTGCCTGATCTGTTGACTATGTTCCAGATTATTTGTTTTTAATTTTTCTTGCAAAATCCGCCTGTAGGAGGACAAGCGCCTGGTGCGGAAAAGTTGCGACGCCTTGATCTTTGGGTTCTCGGAGGGCCAGGGTCGTCCTCCGCGTCTCTCACTGAGCTCACCCCCGGGCCCCACGAAGGAGGCCCTGGCGAAGGGGCTCGAGGAGCAGCTCCGGGTGGGCGTGGACCACCTCGGTCAGCAGCACCAGCGGGCCACCGAGAGCCTGCACGCGGCCGCCGACCAGCGCAAGGCCGAGTTCAACCTGCTGCTGGGGCAGCGGGTGAAGCAGCAGGAGTGTCGGCGGCGTGCAGAGGGGGGCTCGGAGGAGGAAAAGGTACTTATTCGTGCCGCCCACCCTCGCCCCGTTTTCGCCTCTTTGGGCCTCCTCGGAGGCCCTCGTCGCCACCGCTGGATTCGCCAGGAAATTTTGGGCAGAACGCACCCAAGGAGGGGTCCAGGGAGCAGCGGTATCGGTACCTTTTGGTTTCTCCGGGGGCGAGGTGATGGGGGCTTCTTAGAAGCCTTCCCGCCGTCTCGGAAGGGTTGGTAGAGCAGAAGCCGGGACCGCAGGGTCGCCTCGAAGATCGTTCTGGCATCCGGCAGGAAGCCTCGCGGCGCCCTGCTTGAGCTCGCAGCGTTTGGCAAAGAGCCTTTTCTGAGCGTTCCCCAAATACTCGGGGGTGGACAGACCTCCTGCCCTGACACGTCGATTAAGGAATTGGCCGTTTTCGGTTCGCGAGAGGGCGTCGTGGCCGTCATTTTTGCGGGTCCAGGTCTGTCGGTTTCGGTCCCGGGCCGTTTTCACTAAGGGGAGGTTTATTAAAGGGAGGCTTGTCCACCGCCGAAATACGCGAGCCCAGAAGCTGAGGTACTTCGGAAGCTCAGCCTTCTCGCTGGCCTCAGAGCCGATCCAAGAGGCCCGCTGTCCGAAGGCCGCTGCCTGCTCAGAAGGGGTGCCCACTCAGGAGGGAAAGAAACACACAGACACAATAAATCGGCGATTCCCCAGAAAATATGGGAAGTGGGGGGAAGACAAAAGCACAGAAAATATGGGAAACTATAGGGCATCTTTTTATTTGTGTGTATTTATTTGTGTGTCCCAGTTCCCCTTCACCCACCGCCGCCCCGTGCCGCCGTGCGCGCCTGCGGAGGAGGCCTGCCTGCAGCAGCAGTTCCAGGAGCAGCTGGCCCTGCTGCAGCAGGACGCGGAGGGGGCACCTGTACATCAGGAGGAATAAAACATACAGACACATTTAGTCGTCGATCCCTAAGAAAATATGGGTAAATCTTGGAATTGGGCGGGGAGACAAAAACCCAGGAAACATGGGAACATATGGGGGATCTTTTTATTTGTGTGTGTGTGTGTGTTTATTTGTGTGTCCTTGGGCCCCTTGAGTACAGTAGGGGCCCGACCCCAGGAAACCTTCCACAAGGAGGCCAACCCTGAGACCCAATGACGTCCATTGGTTTTTTTTTGGGGGGGGCGTCACGCTTTCCGTCGCGAGTTCCATCGACACCCGAGGAACCCAGGGCACCCTGGAGGCAAGCGGGGTGCCTCTTGGCACGGGCCCCCCAACTGTGCACCGCCGTGCCTGAGCAGGCTCACCCGGGGCCCCCGGGCGGCGTGCAGGCCCACCCGGCCCCGCCCCGTGCGGCGAACCCGAGCCACGCCGAGGGGCCCAGGATGGCCTTGGCCAGGCATGGCTGGCTGGGTCGCCAAGGGCGCCCTCGAGGGCGCGAAGCTGTTCGCGCTTCGCGCTTCGCGGTTCGGCTCCGATTCCTCCTCATCCTCTTCTCCCCTGGGAGGCGGCGCGAGAGCGCGAAGTTACTCGCACGTCGCGCCTCGCGCAGCGCGGAGCGCGGGGTTGGGAGCCCTTTTGGTCGCGGGGCAGGAGGCCCAGCGGCAGCGGGCGGAGCTGGAGCGGCAGGCCGCCGCGGTGACGCTGGACTGGAAGCAGCGCCGCACGCACGAGGAGTTCGTGCGGGAGCAGCAGGGCATCCAGCAGAGGTTCGCCCGCGCACAGGCCGAGCTCGCCGCCCGCTCCAGGTGAGTGCTCCCCGCGTGCGCCCACAGGGGCCCCGCCGCGCGGGCCGCCGCCGCGACTCTGGAGGCAGCGCTGCGTCCGCGAGGAGGTCGTCACGGGAGCGGCGGTCGGGCGGCGAACTCTGCACACGAGGAGTTCCAAAAGGGGCCTTGCTTTCGAAGGTCGAAGGAGGCGACGCACTCTGCACATGAGGAGTTCCAAAAAGGGCCCTGCCTCCGAAGGTCGAAGGAGGTGCCATCTCTTCCTCGGCGAAGGGCGGCGGCAGGTCGGCGGAAGTAGCACGAGGCCGCCGCCGCCAGCGGAAGCCAGCGGAAGGGCGGCGGAGGGTGGCGGACGTAAGACATGCGCCCCAAGAGATGTCAACATGTTTGGGTTGAGGGCTTTTGGAATCTGCCACATCCACTGCTCCCTGGCCAGGCCCATCCTAAACTCAAGAAAGGAGCTGCGTAGACGCCCTCCTGACCAAGCCAGGTGGGCGTGGCGTATGCACCGCTGATGGGTTCAGGATGGGCCTGGTCAGGGAGCAGTGGGATGTGTAGATTTCGTCGCCCTAAGCGGGGCATCCTGGCAGCACCTCACCCGCGCGCCGGCCGAGCTCGCCCCCCGCTCCGTGCGAGTTCTCCCCCGCACACGGCGGGGGTCGGCCGCGAGCAGTTGTGCACGCAGGGGGGGTCTCCTTCACTACCCTGCCCCCGCCTTACCCCACCCCTTTCCTCCCGTTATCCCCTCTTCCCATCCCTGCGCATGCTCTGTCCGTCGCTATTTTGGCTCGACGCTCGAGGTCTGGATCGTTTCGCGCAGGCGTGCGAGTCGCGGCCCCCGCACTGCTTGTTTGCGCTCCCCGAGCGCAATGCGTGTCATTGGCTCCCAGCATCGTGCTGCACTGCGGTTTCATCCCGCACGGCCTGTGCGTCCCCACATCGCGCAGGTGTGGCCCAGAGCCCGCCACAGAAGGCGAAACGTGTGGGAGGCGGAGGGTGCCCAGGCCAAGTGCCGAGTGGGCAGAAGCGTGAGCTCCTTGCGTGGTCGAAGACTCGGTGCTGCAAGCATTGCTGGCCACTTCCACGGGAGGCCCATGCGGACCTCGAGCGCCGCAGCCGCTGCCGCCAGCACCAGAGCACGATGTCTTCGGTGGCCTGCGCATCCATCATCTTGTCGGGCGCTGCACGTCCAGCCGCCCATGGCAGGGCGGCGGCGGGGTCGGGCTCACTGCCGAGCTTACCGAGGTGCTGGCCGAGCTGGCCGCTCTCAAGAGCCAGAAGGCCCTGAGCTCTGCCTGGGTCAGCACCGGGGCGACGTCGTGTCATGGAGTTGGCCGAAGACGGGGACGTCGAGGAGGCGCCCGCGGCCCTGGCGGGACACCTGGCCGGGCCGGATGGCACCGACTGCGCCGAGATGAGAGGAGGCGAAGGAGCTCAGCTGCGTGAGCTGTGCAAGAGTCTGGTGGAGGGGCGTGTCGCTCGAGACATGCCGACAGTGTGGGAGCCACGGGGCCCGTGTCACACCTCCCGGCGGCCCCGCCTCGGGTTGTCCCGGGAGCCGTGCCTGCTGCAATGGGTCTGACAAGAGATGTGTCCACAGCCGCGAGCGGGCGTTTCGCTCGAAACGTGCCCACAAATGCACCTCCTGGCGCCCCCCCGCTTTGAGAGGTCCATCTGCCATGCCTGCTAGACATGAACGGTTTGGGCTCTGAGCATGCACGCGCCCGCAGCCGCGAACGCGCGTTTCGCTCGGGGCACCCACCCCCGCAGTCTGGGCGCGCTCGGGCCCGTGTCATAACCCCTGGCGGCTCCTACTTGGGCGGTCCATACGCCCTGTCTGCTGCATCGCGGCGATCATGGGTCCATGGGTCCCGAAACAAGCCGCGTCCACAACTGCGAACAGGAGTTTTGTTTGAGGTGTCTCCCCTCCGCACTCTGGACGAGACAGGGCCAATGCCATCCCCCCCAGCGGCTCCAACAGGGGTGGTCCACATCTCATGCCTGCTACATCGCGGTGATCACGGGGATGTTAACATAAGATCGCCCGCAGCTGCAAGAGGGCGTTTCGCTCGAGACATCCCCGCAGTCTGGGCGCGCTGGGCTCGTGCCATCACCCCTGGCCGCTCCCCCTTGGGTGGTCCAGATGCAGTGCCTGCTAAGAACGAACGGGTCTTAGTATGCGTGGTTGATTGTGGGTGAGTCTGAGCATGAGCACGCCTGAGCACGAGTTGAGTCTGACTATGACCTTTCGAGGACGCCTGCGGGGAACCATTGCCGCCCCCCCCCCCCCGCATTTTAGGATGCGCCTATGTGGTCAAACGTTTGGGCAACATTTGGCCGCACCAGCGGACCATGCGTTCCCGAAGCCGTTGTGGAAGCTCTTCGGAGAACGCGTGGGGGAGGAAGAGCAGGATGAGGGGAGGCAGTAACACGGAGGAGGATGACAAGGATGAGGGAGACCTCTTGGGAGTTTGGGTCATTCTTGGGGCCTCCTGGGAACGTCCTGGGGCCTCTTGGAGGCCACTCTTGGGGGCCTCCTTGGGCCTCGTGGGGACCTTCACGGGCTTCTCGGCGACGTCCTTGGCAGTCTTGCCGTCTTGGGGGACTCTCTGAACCGACTTGGGGCCATTTTGGGGCGTTTCAGAGCCGTCTTGGAGACCATCTTGGATCATTATGTTTTCTCGCAAATCGGGGGGGGGGGACGGCCGTCACAGGGGGGGGGGGGAAGGGTGCGGGTGACGTCGCGTTTCGCGCCCGCGGCGTCTGGGAATGCCCAGGAAAGAGCGGGGACGGGTAGCAGCAGCATGTAGGCGGCGATCTGCACTACAGCGCTTACAGCGCCGGTGTACACCACAGTGCTCTGGAGGGGAAAACACACACACAGACACACTTAATCGTCGGTTCCCCAGAACATATGGGGAAATATGGGAAGTGGGGGGACGACAAACATATGGGGAATCCTGGTATTTGTGTCTATTTATTTGTGTGTCCCAGGGCCCCTTCAAGTGCTTGCGTGCACGACAGCGTCTGTGTACACCACAGCGCCTATGTACTCCACATCAGCCGCGTGCAACACAGTGCCAGCGTGTACCCCAGTGTCTGTGTGCACCACAGCGCTTGTGTACACAACGCCTACGTACACCACATCAGCCGTGTGCAATACAACACCAGGGTACACCACAGTGCCTGCGTGCACCACAGAGCCTCACCGCAGAGCCTGTGTACACCACGGCGCCTGTGTGCACCTCAGCAACTGTGTGCAACATAACGTCATTGTTGTATATAGAATCTTTAGAATGAGTTATTGTGACAAAGTAGATCGCCAGTGTATTTGACAGAACACAATTGTTTTATATAGCATTTGTAAGGCAATCCCCATGGAAAAAAGAACGCCTCTGGACTCTACGAATTCTCCGATGAGGCGGAGGAGGAGGAGGATGAGGAAGAGGAGCTGCCGTGCCTTTGGGAGAAAAAGACGCGCACAGAGACAGGGGCGGCGTCTTAAGGAAGGAGTTCACTTGAGGCGTGGGGCATTCTGGAGGCAGTGCCGTGGGAGGCGCTGTGACATGGGGGCGCTGTGGCATGGCACCGTGACGATACGGATGCTGAGGTGTACGCAGGCGTTGTGATGTGCACAGGCGCTGCGGTGCAAGCAGGCATTGTTGTTTTCACAGGCGCTGAGTCGCAGACGGCTGCTGCGGTGTTCACATTCGCTGTGGTGTGCGCAAGCTCTGTGGTGCACGCGAGCGGTGTGGTGTACACAGGCCTGCGTTGCACACGGCTGTTGCGGTGTACGCAGGCGCTGTGGTTTGCACGCGCGATGTGGTGCACGCGAGCGCTGTGGTGCACGCGGGCGCTGTGGTGCAGATCGCTACCAACATGCTGCTCCTATTCAGCCGCGGTCATCCCTAAGCATTCCTGGACGCCGCCAGCGCGGGACGTGAGGTCACTTGGGGGGAAGCGGGGCCCCCGCTGACGGCCGCTATCGCGACAAAGTATATGTTATGCTCTTGGGCGTCGTGGGAGGCCTTTTGGGCTGTCTTGGGGTCTTCGTGGAGTTCCTGCCCGCCCCAATGTTTGTTTCCTTTTCGATCCCTCTTCGGGCTTGCTCGTCGGTGGGTGTGGAGGCGGCGCCCGGAAAAAAGAGGAGGAGGACGAGTAGGAGGAGGAGGAGGAGGAGGAGGAGGAGGAGGAGGAGGAGGAGGAGGAGGAGGAGGAAAAGGAAAAGGAGGGAGAGAGGAGGAGGAGAGGATGAGGAGAGAGGAGGAGGAGGAGGAGGAGGAGGAGGAGGAGGAGGAGGAGGAGGAGGATGAGAGGATGAGGACGACGAGGAGGAGGACGAGGACGAGGACGAGGAGGAGGACTAGAGGAGGAGGAGGAGGAGAAGGGAAAGAGAGGAGGAGGAGGAGGAGGAGAGGATGGGAGGACGACGAGGAGGATGAGGACGAGGACGAGGACGAGGAAGAGGACGAGGAGGAGGAGGAGAGGAGGAGGAGGAGGAGGAGGAGGAGGAGGAGATGAGGAGGAGGAGGGCGAGGAGGAGGACGAGGACGAGGACGAGGACGAAGGAGGAGGAGGAGGAGGAGGAGGAGGAGGAGGAGGAGGAGGAGGAGGAGGTGGTGGAGGAGGAGGAGGAGGAGGAGGAGGAGGAGGAGGGGGGCGAGGACGCGCCCGGCGGGGCAGCAGGCGGAGAGCCGGGGCGCTCCAGCAGAGGACGCAGGTGCGCCCGCCGCGCGGCCGCCCCGGCCATGCGGTTCCGCGGACGTCGTCGTCGTTATCGTTATCGTCGTCGTCGTCGTCGTCGTCGTCGTCGTCACCTGGGAAGTGTTTGCGGTTGTTCTCGTAAAGGTTCTCGCCGCCATGGCGGGTCGCAGCTCAAAGTGCCTTCCCATCATGGGCCCCAGGATGGGCCCAGGGGCCGATTGACAGCGGATGTTGCGAGGATCGGACCTAGACCTCGTCTCCTTCTTCTCCAACTATCTACGTGCTCGTCTCATCCTCACCCGCTACCTTCCCTCTTCCCCG